TTCTTCTTTATTTTACCCTCTAACTCTAGCACTTTCTATTCTATTTTAATTCTACTTTATCCATCTTTTTTTTTATTTAAAAAAAAACACTAGCTTTCTATTTTTTCTATTCTATCTACTTGTTTTTCTTTTTGTGTGTGTGTAAATATATATATAAATAAATAAATACCTTGCTACATGTACTGCGTTAGGCTAACCGAGACTTGTCATTTGCATTTATATATTGTTGCTCTTTTGTTGGTTTTGATTTCTTCCATTGTCCTCTTTTGTAAGTCGTTTTGGATAAAAGCGTCTGCTAAATGAAATGACTAAATGTATTTATTTTTTTTCAAAGTTTGTGTGGCTATAACTCAAGAAGTATTAAATATATCGCAACACAATTTTAGATTGAAGTTCTTAATTAACTTTTCTTTTGGAATCTTTATTTTCAAGACCCTGTATCATTTAGTCCCAGAGATATGGGGACCTCAATGAGGTTTATAAGTTAAATAATATCCATTTTCAGTGGTTGAAAACCAAATGTTGGTCACTTTGTATACTATTTTACTAATAGACCTACCAATCTCTGTGTAAAAGTAACAATGATGCTGCCATCTTTCTTAAGTCATTTGTATACCCCCCTGTAATCTCAGGTGAAATTTGCCATTTTGACCCCCCTCTACAAAATAGTGGATTACTTGGTAAATATTCATCCACGACATTTAATATTTTGGCTTTTCTCACTATACATGTTTATCTTTCTTCAGAATAAATATTAGCCGTGCATTTCTTTTAGTCGAGTGATAAAGTTTACCCTCTTTAACTTAAAGCTGTTGAACTGAATTTAAGAAGCAAACTATCTGTTAAAGTAACCACAACATTAACAGCAACACTGAAATACGAGTGTTTTATCAGTAAGTTAGATGCATGTGAATGTTGCATGTGTTACTGTAACGAACTGTGCATGTTTTCTTTCAGAATCATTATTGTCTGGAAGAAAGAAAAATAGGTTGCATGAAAGCTTTTACTTGAAATGAAGATAAGGTAAAGGTGCAAAGAATTATGAGGGGAAAAATATTAACGTATTTAACGCACCCTGTTCCAGACCTATCTGTTATCATACCTTGATGCAGTTGTTGACGAACACGATGCAGGAACATGATGCAGTTATACGAGTATAAAATGTATGATATGAGGGCACAAAATGCTAATGAATGGGTTTGTTTTATATTTGTAAATGATATACTTTAGCAATTTCACACGAATCAAGCAAGAGAGCAGATCCCCCCACCCCTCTCGAATATCTGCAAGATTACAAATGTGATGTTGATTTTATACAACAGTTCAACAGACAATAAGTTAATATTGTGTTAATTTTAGACACAATATTGTGTTTTTGTGCAATTTCGCTGACAAAAATTTTAACTATAAAACCCTGATTAACACACTGCGGTGTTTCCTTACTGAATGAATTTTGTACGAATCAAATGAATCAATGATTCAGTGAGCCAACCATAACAACAGTCCCTGCGTCCCAATGTGCATACTATCCATCCTAAACAGTATGTGAGATTAGAATAAGTGTGTCCCAAAGCATAGTACGTTAAAAAGAACATGCAAAAAGTCCCTGGATGGTCTACTATTTCAGGTAGATTTTTGAAGTCTGGATCCATGCACACTCTAATGGCTAATATTACCCACAATCCATTGAGCTTTGGCGAAAGCTTGTCTACTCTTCAAACACACACTCAAAAGTGTGTACTATTTCTTCATCAAAAGAGTACATACTTTAAGGGTGTAGTATAAGCAGGCACATTGGGACGCTGCGAATCATTTGCTTAGTTTCTAAATGAATCACCTGTTTGAACGAATCGGTTGAATGAATGACTCACTCATATAGACAACGATTTGCTGCCACCTATTGGCGCTTTTAGTTTTATATTTAGAGTATGGTTTCTTTCTTTTTAAAAATAATTTCATATTTCATTATTGTGTTTTTGTATGTTGAATCAACATTTCTTTCTAAACCTACTTTTTTTGCAAGGTCTTATTACATTCCCAATTAACTAATCTAATTAATTTTATATTAATACATTAGATTAATTAATCGGCACAATGTGTAATTACATTGAAAATTTTAATACAGTACACACTAAAATCATGTTAATTTACAGCCTACAATCTATTCACTATTTGAATTAAAGTCTTATTTTTCATTTTGCTAAGAGGAGCAGCTGCAAAGTTTCAGGAGTGAAAACTGCATGTAAACAGGTTTGGACCCAACTAAATTAATATTTGATTTTATATGTATATTTTATTAAATAAGCCAGTAAAAACGGATTTGCTGGTAAATTAGCTTAATCTTCTAGCTAATGCTAGGTAGCCATCTAATCCGCATAGTAGGAAGGAAAGTTAATATAGGGGATGTTTGCAAGGGCAGTTTACAGCATTAAGGTTAAAATTGTCAAAAAAAGTAAAAATAAATAGTTATATCCAAATAGAGGCGTGTAGTTGATTGCAAACAAAGCTGACAAACCTGATTTAAATACGTTGTGAATCCGCTAAACTAGACACTAAATCTTTAAACGCCACCAAATAAGTTACCTTCTGGCATTTTACTTACAGAGAGACAACTGCTAGACATTAAAATGACTCAAAATACCTAAATCATGAGAACAATGATTAAACTTATCTAAAACCAGCACTTACCAAACAGAACAAGACCAGAGGACTGAAGAGTTCGCGTTGTTGTTGTTGTTCTTCTTCTATTGTTGTTATTGGTGGAGAGCAAAGAAGTTTAAGATGAATTACCGCCACCTGCTGGACTGAAGGTGGAAGAGCTTTCCAGTGGCCCCCGTTATTAGTGCGCATGCGCATATGACGCTTTCGAACCACCAAAACCCCAAAGTCTACTTCACTTTATCATTACCAAAGTCGCTTAGTCTTTGCTATTACTAAACTCAATAAAAAATGTTTCCTTAAATGTTAGAAACACCTGTTATTTCCCCAAAACTAGGCTACAAGTTGCATTTTTTACAGATATAAATATAATTATCAAATGAAATGATTAATCAGTTTCTACAACAGAAATGATTGCAGTTAGAATAGTTTCCCCGTTGATTATTACTGTAGGCTGCTCTGTGTTGTTACTCTAGTGATGTTTTTTAGTAAATTCACTGAAAAGTGACAGTAGGTGACAAGAGAAGAAAAAAAAAAGGAAACAGCAAAGGAAAACATTTCTGAATATAGTTCAGGGTTGCACTGATATAAAGCCAGTGAACTTTAAATGTGCACGTAAGGATGACTCGGGTGCAGCGCTCACAGTGGAATATTTGCTTTTATAAAAGCCCATTTCAACAGAAACTGGACCTCGTGTTGTTTATATTGTTTCAGCAGCAGCAGTGAATGCTAAGAAACAATTTAATTCTAATGAAGAATTGTAACTTTACTACATGTCATTTATATTATATGAAAGACTGCATGCTCAGTAAGGTGTGTTTGAACATTTTTCACATTTCGAATCCCAAAAAGAGTAAAACAAGCGCAATAACTCAGCACTCGTGAACTTTCTCCAGTCATATTGACTTTAATTTGGGACAATGCTTCTTTCTGTGCATCATTGCAGTTTGAGAAAGGCCGAATCTCCTGCCACACGGAAGGCACTTTTCCACAATCTTTTCACAAATAGTCTTTCACACCAGAGTGTATTTTCAGATGGTCTTTAAAACTGCCCAGCCATGCAAAACTCTTCCCACAAACACAACACAAGTAAGGCTTCTCTTTAGTGTGAGTTTTCATGTGGGCCTTTAGTTGTGATTTCATAACAAACCTCTTATCGCACTGATCACACTTAAATGGCTTTTCTCCGGAGTGAAGGAGTTTATGAACTCTGAGACTATTTGTCCATTTGTAACTCTTTCCGCACTGATCACATGTGAACGGCTCCTCTCCGGTGTGAATTCTTATGTGATCCTCAAGGTAGGTTTTAGATACAAAATATTTTCCACAATGAGAGCATAAGAATGGGTTATCTGCGGCGTGAATTCGTTTGTGAATACCAAGGCTGCATTTAGTTGAAAAACACTTCTCACAATGAGGACATGAGAAAGGCTTTTCTCCACTGTGAACTCTCATGTGACGACTGAAGAGGTCTTTACGTCTGAAACTCTTTTCACACTGAGGACACTTGAACGGTTTCTCATTACTGTGAGACCTTAAGTGAGTGCCAAGCGTTCCTTGACTTATAAAGCTCTTTCCACAGTGCTGACACACAAACGGCTTCTCTCCGGTGTGAATCCTTATGTGACGTATTAAGCCTTGTTTACGTGTGAAACTCTTTCCACACTGAGGGCATGTGAACGGTTTCTCTCCGGTGTGAATTCTCATGTGTTCTTTGAGGTTTCCTTTACTTGTGAAGCTCTTTCCACACTGATGGCATGTAAAATCCACATTCTTCTCTTTATTAAACTCTATCTTTACAACGTCACAGCTCATTGTAACGTGGCATGGAGGAACAGATCTGAAAAAAGAAAACCAAAAAAGTAATTGTAATACAGTCAAACATTCAGTATACTTTATTTGGTAGCATGCGCAAACGTCCAGAAGTTATGAGTGATAAAAATGTCTGTACTCTTTTAAACTAAAGCTGGGCTATCCCATAACCCCTCACACGAATGCTTGTCAGTTGTCTTTTTAATTAGTGAATGCAAAATATCCCAAAATATTACATTAAAGCAATAGTTTAGACTAAAACTCGATCTGGGTCAGGACTGTTTTCATTATAGTAACACTACAAGGTATTATAATAAGAGAGGAAATGCTGTGAATTTAAAAAATGACTAGTTTATCCAAAAATTAAACATCTTTTCACTTACATTTATTTAGTTCCTTATGACTTACAAAAGGATATGTTTAGCATGCATCACTTACTAGTACTTACTTTTTCAAACAGTTAATTAAATGATGAATGAGAACGTCTCTCTGCCGCATTTATTTGTATTGACAAAACACAATTTTATGACAAAAATCAGAATCGTTGATTATTTCCTTGAAATTGTAATTACAATTATCACAGTTTACACTGAGTGATGTTTATACTACTGTCTGAAGCAACTGCATGCCATATTTTCTAATGAAAATAAACAAGCTGAAAACACTCTTACTGAAAAACTTATTGCATTTCTATAATATTAAGCCTCAAATGTCAACTATACATTGGATTGGTTTCTTTACACAACAACAACAACAACGAAAAACAGTAAAAAATAAAAATATGCATGGTACTATAATGCTATACTAAAATGAAAACAAATGTAAAAGCCCTTAACATAACATGCAGAAAGAAAAAACACATCTTAAGCATGCAGAATAATAACATAAGTGAACCTTGAACAATTAATTGCTGCTTTGAACGGTTATGTAATTGTGGCATTTGTAATTGTTATCACCACGATTAGAAATGTGATTAATTGTGCAGCCCTATACAATTTCCTAAAAAAAAATTAATTCTACATTTTTAAAAGCTGAAGAGCTTTTCTTGTTTTATTTATTAGTTAGAATATGTATAACTCAATATCTTAACTAACTGCAAAAGCTGAATAATCAAATAACCTACTAGTTAATTGGTGAAATAACCACTGTTTAGTCGATTAATCACTCTAATAATCGTTAAAGAATTTTCAAAATAATAATTTGTTGCAACCATATTCCATACAATGAGTTCTACCACAACTTTACTTAACAATTGAACAAATTAAATGCATTTAAGTATTTATATCAAATGTATTAGGGATATGAAAAATGACAGATTATCATAATTAGTCAGAGTTAAAGTTGAGCGCAGGAGATGTTTTAATTAGTTAGAATATGTATAACTCAATATCTTAACTAACTGCAAAAGCTGAATAATCAAATAACCTACTAGTTAATTGGTGAAATAACCACTGTTTAGTCGATTAATCACTCTAATAATCGTTAAAGAATTTTCAAAATAATAATTTGTTGCAACCATATTCCATACAATGAGTTCTACCACAACTTTACTTAACAATTCAACAAATTAAATGCATTTATATCAAATGTCTTACTATTAGGGGTATGAAAAATAACAGATTATCATAATTAGTTAAAGTTGAGCGCAGGAACAGAGATGTTCAGAAACACCTTATATTGTGCATTTATTGATTATTACAAGTTGCATTTTAAACAGTTAGCTACACAAAAGTGAGACAAGTTCTCGGTTTTACTGAACAGTTTACTGACCGCTCTCTGAATCAACTGCGGTTTGCTGAAACCAAGCATGTTAGATAAGGACATGCAATCATTACCGCGGGAAGTAGGGGTGCTGGGGGTGCTGCAGCACCCCCTGGAGTGTAGCCCACGAAAAAATGGGGGTGCTGGGGGTGCGGTGTTAAATCACCACGATTAGAAATGTGATTAATTGTGCAGCCCTATACAATTTCCTAAAAAAAAATTAATTCTACATTTTTAAAAGCTGAAGAGCTTTTCTTGTTTTATTTATTAGTTAGAATATGTATAACTCAATATCTTAACTAACTGCAAAAGCTGAATAATCAAATAACCTACTAGTTAATTGGTGAAATAACCACTGTTTAGTCGATTAATCACTCTAATAATCGTTAAAGAATTTTCAAAATAATAATTTGTTGCAACCATATTCCATACAATGAGTTCTACCACAACTTTACTTAACAATTGAACAAATTAAATGCATTTAAGTATTTATATCAAATGTATTAGGGATATGAAAAATGACAGATTATCATAATTAGTCAGAGTTAAAGTTGAGCGCAGGAGATGTTTTAATTAGTTCACACTGACTCAGTGAAGCTCATAAACAGCTAAAGGACATGATATTTATATAGTCCCACTCTTTGCTCACTTCCATAGCCTAATATCTGTTTACTGTTTGAATTAAAGTCTTATTTTTCTTGCTGCTAAGAGCACATGGACACTGCAAAGTTTCAGGAGTCATTTAAACAGGTCTACAAGCTCTCATAAATTTATATGTGATTTTATACTTCATATTTGAGCAAATTAGCCAGTAAAAATTGACTTGCTAGTAAACAACCTTAAAACTGGGTAATCTTAGGTAGCCATGTAATCAGCATAGAGTAGGGAAACTTAATATAGGGAATTTGGATAATATACAGTATTAAGATAAAATACATAAAGTTGTTAGATCAAAACTGGAGCATGTGACTGATTCAGCTCCAGCCTGGCAAACAAATATATCCAGATTGAAGAGTGAATGACTGAAGAAATGTTGTGATTAAAACGCCACCAAACGCACTTAACAGAGAGACAACTGCTGCTAGACATTAAAATCACTCACAATATCTAAACCATGAGAACAATGATATAACTGAACTAAAACCAGCACTTACCAAACAACAGAACAAGATTAGAGGACTGAAGTGTTCGCGCTGTTATTGTTATTGTTCTTCTTCTTCTACGGATTGTGTTGCAACTGGCGGTGAGCAAAGAAACTTCAGATGAATTACCGCCACCTGCTGGACTGGAGGATGGAGCTTCGACGCGCAGGGAAAATATTTAACTTAAAGTGGCTTAAAGTACACAAAAAGTAACACTGAGTAACGCTGAAGTCAGGGAAAATATCAAGAATGTACTGAAACATGCGGTATGATGTATTTCAGTTGCTTTTCAGATCAAATGCTTTCTTCGGATTCCACCTAGTGGACGCCGTTATTAGCATAATAAATATAGGCTAAGTAGTTACGTCTATGGTTATTAGTGCGCATGCGCAGATCGATCCGCCAAAAGCCCAAAGTAGCCTATACTTCACTTTGATAATAATAATAATAATAAAAATACTTCACTTTGATAAACTCAAACAATTACAAAATATGTTAGAAACACCTTATATTGTGCATTTATTGATTATTACAAGTTGCATTTTAAACAGTTAGCTACACAAAAGTGAGACAAGTTCTCGGTTTTACTGAACAGTTTACTGACCGCTCTCTGAATCAACTGCGGTTTGCTGAAACCAAGCATGTTAGATAAGGACATGCAATCATTACCGCGGGAAGTAGGGGTGCTGGGGGTGCTGCAGCACCCCCTGGAGTGTAGCCCACGAAAAAATGGGGGTGCTGGGGGTGCGGTGTTAAAAATAAATGAAAGAACAATATGTAATAAACAATAAATAATATTCATTTTATTAATTAGTATATTCATTAAAATTCATTGAAAAAAGTAGCCTAAGCCTACAATGACAAGAAGCAACGGTTAAATATGAGTCAAGTTAAATCAAATTGACTGTGAAAGTCGTTTCAACTGATTAAACGTATTAAACTGACTTAAAAAATCATTTGTTGACGTGATTTATGGATTATATTATAACCTGTAACATGTCTCTGCCGTTCCCAAATGAAGAATGAACAACAATTTCTACAGACAGCAGAGAAAGAGCGCGAGCGTCTACCTCAGCAGCAACACATCTCGCATTCTCACA